GATACATGTATTTTGTTTCTGGCACGCACACGTCATGCCCAAGTTGCATGCTTTGTTGGGTTATTTGGCCGTGTTTAATTAGGATAGGTTGAGGCTCATTATCGTACTGACATTTGGTAAATGCCAGGCTAGAAAAACTCAATGGTCACGCTCCTTTGAAGCGGGTAGTTGGAGGGTTGGAGGGCACCACTGGTAGGTCCTACGTCTTTGCTTTCCCTCTGTTGTTTCTGTCTGTCTTTCATACTTTTTCCCCCGCTCTAAATGTGGCGATGTGCTTCTCTTAACACGTAGTACAAACAAGCAAGCCCCTTTGGCAGTGAAGCAAAAACACAATGAATATATGCAAAAAATCATGCAATGCACTTTACAAGTCAGTGCAACTTTACAAGTCTGTGCGTTAACTAGTTTCACAACTATAAGGTTAACACGAGTTTTGCATACCGTCCAGGACTTTTTTTCATAGTAAGTGGACCAAATAACCGCTGATATAATATCGAACTCGGGCTGGAGGATTCTTTTGATAAATACAGTACACAAATGTGTTAAGTGAAGCATTATTGTCACAATTAAAACCCAACAAGAGTGTGATGCATGTACATTAGCTGGAAGTTGGCTTTTGTTTTATATGTTAGTGTGAGTTTTTCGGCATGTACAACATAATTAGGCCACATAAATACTGAAGTGGGTGGTTGGCGGGTGCTCTGGTGTGGTTTGCTTCTTCTTTCCTATCAAACATCTATCATCCTTATCTCCCCTTTTTCTTTTTTATGTTTGTTACTCTCTTGTAACACCTCTAATCTTCTGGCGCTCATATGACCTTATGCAGTTTCGAGCGCCGTAAAACCTCTTCTAAAACAAAAAACAAAAAATGCTGAAGGTTAGAGAAGTTACAAGAGTGTAGCAAACACCAAAAAGAAGGAAGAGAGATAAAGACGATAGATGTTTGATAGTGGGGAAAAAAGCAAACCACTCCAAAGCACCCGCCAGCCACCCACAATTTTGACTTGAAGAGTTTTGTTTCATTATCAAAATATCAGAAATAGTGACCAAGCCCTGACCAGGTTACAAGTACATCTCCCAGTTTGTATTCTTGTTTCCCTTCCCGCAATGTGGCGGGCCAGACGAAGCGGGTGGTTGGCTGGTGCTCTGGTGTGCTTCTTCTGTGTATGCTTGTTACTCTCTTGTAACAGCTCTAATCGTCTGGCGCTCATATGACCTTATGCAGTTGTGAGCGCCGCAAAACCTCTACTAAAACTTTTCCCTCCCGCAATGTGGCGGGCCAGACGAACTGACCCCGCGGGTTGAACCTGGTCCGTGGACTGTAGATTGGTGACCCCTGATGGAGGGCAAGGACTTTGGGGAAAATGATAAAACTGCATTTGTGTGCGTGTGCGTGTGCGTGTGTGTGTGTGTATATGTGTGTGTGTGTGTGTGTGTGTGCGTGTGTGCGCGTGTGTGTTGGTCATACAATAAACTTGTGCGCCAGCCATCCGTCAGGTTTGACCGTAAAAGGGTTAAAACGAATACTGCTTATCATCTTGGGCAAGGACTTTGGGAGTACTTTACGAGGGTCACACTATACAATACAAAAATAGTCTCCTTTGTCAGTCGGCCTCTTGTTTTGGAAACCCGCGGCCAGAGAGTGAGCTTCTCATTTTAGCAGTTTTGTTTTGTGTGCTTTTGATTTGAAGTGTTTACTGTTCAACAGTTAAATGATGATTATAACTTTTTAAATTAATATGGTCTGTTGTTGTCAGATTGAATTAGGAATCACAGCTAGTGAGCCTTTGATATTGTATGGTATTGGTATAGGCAGGATTTAAAGTCCCTTTCAGCTCCGTAGTGTTATTTAATTGGGGGGGATTTCAAAAGTTTGATTTCATACAGGATGGAGCTAAATGGATGAAGAGTAGGGGTCAAGAATAAAACAGTAGGCCTATTTGGAATTCCATCTTGAGTTGTCCTCTTTGTAGTCGAGTGTTTGGCCATTCTTAGCTTAGTAAATAGAGCCCGTAACGCGAAGAGAGTTATGTTATGTGCAGCACTGTTGTTATATTTGTGGAACAGCCATTTTGTTTGACTGAAAATCCGTTAAACACTACTTTTAGACAGGAAGAAAGAGGTCTTTAAATGTATATCATACATGTATATGATTTACTGAAGCCTCTAGTGTGGGTGGTTGGCGGGTGCTCTTGTGTGGTTTGCTCCTTCTTTCCTATCTAACATCTATCGTCCTTATCTCTCTCTCCTTTTTTCTGTTCATTACTCTCTTGTAACACCTCTAATCTTCGGCACTTATATGACCTTATTGTGTTGCGAGTGCCGTAAAACTCTTACTGAAATGAAGCCTCTAGCTAGAGTGTCAAAGTGTCAGTTTCTCTGTTGTTTGTGGCAATATGAATCCAGTGTTTGATTTCCTGTCGTCTTTGTGAACACAGAAATTCGCTTATTTCGAGAAGTTGTGTTTGTTTGTTTTGTTTTGGGTTTTTTGTTTGGTTGTTGTTGTTGTTTTGTTTTTTTGGATGAATTATTGGAGCTTTTATTGTTGCTTGTAGATAGTGTGAATGTGCTTTTCACTCATCATGTGAACAAAAAATTCTTCAGTCAGAACAAAAAAGTCTTCAATCACAGAATTCGTGCCGAGCATTGTGATCTTTTCATTTGAGGACACATCTATATTGGTCACCCACTGAATTCCTCCCCCTCTCCCCTCCTTTTTTTTTCTGTGTCATTGGTAGATGCTTTAGAGGTGGGTGGTTGGCAGGGGCTCCAGTGTGGTTTGGTCCTTTTTTTCCTGTCAAACATCTTACTTTGTTGTCTTTAACTCTCTTCGTGGTTGGCGGGTGCTCTGGTGTGGTTTGCTCCTTCTTTCCTATCAAACATGATCTATCGTCCTGATCTCTCCTCCTTTTTTGTGTTTGTTACTCTCTTGTAACACGTCTATTCTTCGGCACTTATATGACCTTATTGTGTTGCAAGTGTGGTAAAACTTACTAACACTACTAACACAGCACCTAATCTTCGGCACTCATGATACGATCTAATTGTGTTGCAAGTGCCTTGAAACTCTTACTAAAATATAACAAAGATGCTTTATTTTCTTTCCTATTGAGAGTGGTTGGTGGGTGCTCTGGTGTGGTTAGCTTCTTCTACTTTCCTATGAAACATCTATCGTCCTTATCTCCCCTTCTTCTTTTTTATGTTTGTTCATTATTCTCTTGTAACACCTAATCTTCTGGCGCTCCTATGACCTTATGCAGTTGCGAGCGCCGTAAAACCTCTTCTAAAACTAACTCTTTCCTTTTGTTCCGTTTAACAGATTCGCTTCCTGGCAGACACAAATGGAGCCCTGACTAAGGTGAGTACACGTCTCACTCAGACTCATTGCCAGTTCACTTATTAAATACATGCTGGTTTTCCTTATAAATGTTTTCCCCCCATTTGAAAAAAAATTAGTGTGTCGGTTACAGAGTACGACATGTACTGTGTAGTTTCTACGTTTTTTTTTACTCTCAATGTTTCTGTGTCTGCCTGGCTTATTTTTTTCTCTGCTCTAAATGACAGTTTTTGTGACTATATTCTACTCTTTACTTAAATTAGTAATGAAATGCCACAAAATACTACCGAATCTACTCTAATGGTCACCTGTCCAAGACAATCACCCCGCAACCTCAGTGCTTTCTTGTCGTATCTCCATTTTTAATTTTTTTTTGAAAACAGTTCGTAACTAAGAGTGAGCTCAAAAAGTCTCATTTTCACTGTTGAAAAAATGGAGATGCGATGAGAAAGCACTGAGGTTGGGACCTGTACAATACTACCACATCCTACTTTTCCTTTTTTATATGTAATAATGGCACAGTCCAGGACTCTAGTGGTTGGAGACCGCCACTAATAGGTCCTACTTCTTTACTTTCCCTCTGTTGTTTCTGTCTGTCTGTCTTACTTTTTCCTAGCACAAATGACCATTATTGTGTCGATGTGCTTCTGTTTACTCTAACAAACAAACTGTGAAAGACATCCATTCATCAAAGACAGCCACTTTCCTCCTCGCCAATGGGTGGCCGTCTTGGACCATTTCGACTGAAGCTGTATTTCAATGTGCTTGAAGACTTCTGTTGTGCCAACAGACCTTAGGTTCTTCACAGAGTAACGCAGAAAGCGGAGGAGCCTAATATGTATAACATGCAATTCTTTTATTTGTACTTCCTGTAGTCAAGGTCTGTGTTTCAATAATAAGAAGTATTGAAAATTCATATTTATACTTATCTTTAGATAGGTTTGTATAAAAACTACTATGATGGTTTTGACGTGTTTCTTTGAAATAAATGGAACAGGTGAATATTAATTAGGTAACTGCCTTGATGTTTTTGTTTTGTTTCTAGGGTTTTTATTTTTGTTAATTGACTTTCCTCTTTTCTCAGGCACTCGATGTCGAGTTGGATCTTACGGCTGTTCTGGGGAATGTGCGTTGCAAACGGTGAGGCTCCATGTTGGACTTTCCTTATATTATGATAATTACGGTTTGCTGGATAGTGGCAATGATAGTACATAACAAGATGGGCCACTTCTCTCTTTGAGCCAATTAAAAAGTGTCCTCAAAATTTGGTGGCGCCCTCTTCACAAAAGCGCACTCTTTGCGAACAGAGTTACCCTACTTGAGTTTTTAAAAATCAAAGTGAAACTAGCATGTTTTGGAATAAATTTCGGAAGAACGCTTTTTTAAAATGGTTACGCTGACAAAAAACCTCTTCCGGAGGAAAGGGTGATTGTTTTCTTCGTTTAATTTGACTTTAGAATGAAAGGCGAGAGGTCATTAAAATATAAAAAAAACTAAAACTACGCACTGAACGTACCCGAACTGCTGATGAACAGCAGTCGATCTGCGCACGCAAGGAGGTGCTATTCCTATTCTTCTTCTGGAAAAACGAAAGAGAGCTTCAAAACAGACTGCAGCGCCATCTGAAGCAAAGAGCATACTTCCTGCGGACACTTTTTTGGCTGAGTGGCCCATCTTGTTATGTACTATCATTGATAGTGGTGTGGGTTGCTCCTTCCTCCTTTTTTCCCCTGTAACATCTGCAGGTATTGTCCCAGTCTTCTCCTGCTTGCCTCTGGCTGTTATTGAGCTGACTTGCTAGAGCAACGATTTAATAACTTGGGAGACAAACAGAGTCGGAGAATAAGATTGTGTGACTTTTTTTGGCTCCGGTTTTCGGAGGAGGCTGCTCAAATGGAAGAAAATAAATTTCGGATTTGCATTATTTTTTTTTTTTTCGGTGTACTGCTGTTTTCAGATTAACTTCTATTTAAGTAGCGGATTCCGTGGTGTTTGTGTTACAAATTCTGTAAAGATTTTACTGGAACCCTAAACTAACCTCTACCCCCTCCCCCTCCCCACCCCATTTGCAGCTACGCCCTTGTGGCGGAGGACGGTGTGGTCAAGGCTGTGAACATTGAGCCTGATGGCGCCGGTCTCTCCTGCAGTCGGGCTGCGGATATCCTCAAGATGGTTTGATCGTCGTCATCCCCATGTGTCGTTATCCTCAACAGTGAGCAAGCAAGGCACCAACCCACCTCGAGGCGAGGCTCACAATTAGTCTCACACACACACACACACACACACACACACACACACACACACACCCCAATGTGTTACTGTTGCCTCGGAGGAAAGAATGTGGCCGTCGACCTTAACGGCTGAGATACACACTTGTATCCATTGTTGTATCCGTTGTTGTTTTTTTATGTTAGTGTGTTTCGCCTACGGAAACATTCTTAGTGTGTGTAGGTTGATTGGTTCACTTGAAGCTTATTCTGACAGATAATGAACAACCGGTGGATGCCTAGTATTTTCTAATCATTAGTGGAAATTGGCATGTATGTCTCGTTCTTAATATCAGAATTAATCGGTATTACTTTTTATCAAGCACCTCATATACCTATTGTAATGATATTTAGTCCCTACATGTCTGTAGTTGGGAAGATATTTCCTCTTTAGATATTAAAACTTCTGCCATTGATTTTTAGCATTTCATAATTTCTGTTTCGACCTTTTGCGGGTTCAACGGGATTTGATATTCACAGCTGATTGGTTTTGTTGTTCCTGTAAAACCAAGTTCATCTTTTCTCTCTTCTTTTTTTTTAGCTATTATGATGGTTAGTGTCTTGCAGCAATAGTGATCCATTGATGTATTTGTGCACACTTCAGTGTCAGAGACAAAGAAAAGGAAAATCATTTTGGTCTACTTTATGGAAACAGTTTACTCTAGTTTTTGAGAACAGTTTTCTTTTGATTAAATAATGCTGAAAATGAAAAATTGTGTTTCCAATGTTCTGTTGACTAGTTTGCTCACTTCAATGTACTCTCCAGCAGCTAATGATGAAATTATACTTGCAATCTCAGAACAGTGGACTGTTTTTGTAATCTTTAAAACAATATGTAATCAAGATTTTGAATTTGAATCGAGCATTGATTTTGTTGTTTTACATTTGGGACCTGTCTGACTAATATGAGATCTAAGTACGTAAATTAAAATGGCTTTAAAATATTGCTTGATAAAATATAAATACATGCTGTAACTTGTAAGCATTTCGCTTTCAAGGGTATTGTCAGTAAGATGCTGAAGATGTTTTCTAATTTTATTTTGCCTTGTCTTGTCACGAGCTGAACTTATGAATAAATTTCCGCAAAGCCACATATAGCTGTCATGCACTAAAACGCAATAACCTTGTTGTCCCAACTAACTCCTGCATGTTGCCACGTCCAATTTACCAGACTTTCATCTCATGATTAGTGGATTTATGATATTATGCCTTTATGTAAACACAGCCACCCAGGTCTGTTGATTAGACAATGAGAAGGTGATCATTGATTTATATCACAATAAATTTTGGAGTCCACTGAAAAGCCTCTTTTCTTATTTCATATATATTGAAACAAATTATTGGTTTTTTGTGTGTTTTTTTCTTAAAACAAAGAATGTTAAAATACTGTGGTTAGCGGGTGCTCTGGTGTGGTCTGCTTCTTCTTCCTATCAAACATCTATCGTCCTTATCTCCCCTTCTTCTTTTTTATGTTTGTTACTCTCTTGACGTCTTGTAAGACCTAATCTTCTGGCGCTCATATGACCTTATGCAGTTGCGAGCGCCGTAATACCTCTACTAAAACTCTTTAAAAAAGCGCTGGCATCTGTATTTTAATGGTTTGGTTCTTCACTGTTGCACAGCTGACGCTAGTACATTCAAGAGTGAGGAACTGCTGAAGCTAACTTGCAAAACGTCTACATTAAATAATTGTTGTCTGCTTTGATGCTGTATCCTATTCAGCCAAGGTTGGCTCTGACTAGCAAAAAGGTAGAAGCAATCTGCCTCTTAAATCATCAATATTTATGTATGTTAGGGGTATACAATGTTTATAATAGTACAATCAGTCAAACGAATTTGTGGGTACTCCACCCAAGTAATATCTGCTATTTTTATAGTTCACGTTTAGCTTGCATGCGTACCAAAGAAGGTATGTAATCCTGGTATTCTGGATTATCCAGTAATTCCAAAGCCAGATTTGTTTCTTGTAAGTGTGTGTGTGTGTACACACACCATGCTGGACCACCATTCCAATACATGTAAATAAAAATAATGCAGACTATTTCTTGGTCAAAGGTGGTGGGGGGGGGGGGGGGGTAGCTTGGTTAGTATTTATTGCTGGACTCCAAAGTGGCTGACACTGGCTCTTTTCTTTGTGTGTATGTGTACGTGTGTACTACAGCGCTTGCAACTGCATAAGGTCGTATGAGCGTGCAGGACACAGTAAACCCTATCCGTACGCCCTGGGGTCATTTTTTACCCCTGGGGTTGTATTCTTCACATTTTAGAATACTTCTACATCTAGTACGAAGATCTCTTTGAAACTTTCAGTATTTCTCAAAAAATCATTTTGACAGACTGCTATGCTAAGCGTACAGATCGAATTAACGAGTTAATTTCCTCTTTGGATGTGGTGGCACAGAGTTCCCCAGGTCGTATGGATACGATAGTAAAACATGTCGTACGTATAGGGTTAAAACTAATATATATTGGGAAGAGACCATACCAATGAATAATATCAGCTCACACCTATGGCCACAGAGTAAGATAATTCCAAGAACAAAAAAAGATTGCATCCAGATTGTCAACATTAAAATAGTAACAATAAAGTGCATACTATTATTAAATTATTTTCTGTAATATTCATAGTATTAGTTTTGTATTCCTACTTCTGCTGCTGCTGCAAGGGCTTCGAACTGCTAGTACAAGAACTACTTCTGCTGCTGCTGCTGATGATGATGAGATGATCTGCTCTGCTGCAGCTAAAATTGAGTGTGCTACAATACAGCAATTAACGTAGGAGGAGAAAAAGAAGAGAGCTTGTAAAAGTGCGGGCCCATAATGTGGCGAAACTTTATATAGGTCTTTCAAGTTCTTATGTCTCATCTAGATGCATAAATTAGTTGACAAATCTGATCTAGTAAATCGAATCACACAAATGCTTTATATTACAAGTCACTTCATTGCTGACTATAGTATTATTTATCTTGATGAATACTGATAATAGTACATGTAATAGTTTGAAATTCTTTCTAGTCAAGGAACAAAAATCCAGCATACAGAACGGTCGGGGTGATGCGCGGCAAGGAAGCATCCTGTCCTGTAGCCGGTTTGGAAAACGCGTTTCGACACGTGTCAAGACTCAAGACGTCCTGCTGAAACCGAAACGGCTACGTTCATGGCTGGTTAGGCCATGACACTTTTTCCCCAGCTGCAGGTGTCCATTTTGGAAAGTCTCAATTAAAACATATTTCTAGATTTTTTTTCAAACCTCTAATTTATTGGGGGCACGTATCATTACTATCATGCTGTTGACATATATCATTAAGCCAATAAAATGAAAATTGAAATGTTTGCATGTAGCCGGTTTATGAAGAAACCGACGATATGGATGTGTTCATTGTCTTGAGATAGGCTTTGAAGAGCTGACTTATCTTCCAGTTTATGCATAGGAACTGCTTTGTTCGTTTGGATAGGAAATCCACCCAGGGTGGCGAGGGCTCAAGGCACTGGTCCCAGAGGATAATCTATCACTTTTCGAAGGTCCAGATCATTTTCTGTAGACAACATGAGAAGCTGCCCAAACATGTCTTTGTGCTGTTAATTTCACCTCATTTTTCTTTGTTGTCTTCAGCTTAGCTGTCTTTTGTCGTGAAGCAAAAGTCGGTTTCCTGTTTCTTTTGAGAGGTGCATGGAAACTCTCGGCTTGTTCAATAGGGGTTGTCTTGACAAAATGCTCGTATTGATCTAGCTGTTTTCCATCTTTTTCAATTGACAAAAGATATGTTCCTACTTTCTTTGTAGCTTCCATTCCTAAAGACAGAGAAATCAGTTTGTCATTTCCATTAGTGTCAAATATGTTGATAAACGATTCAAAAGATTGCATGATACTTTGTACACTTTTCTCTAATAGTCTCATTTGTGATTGGTGGCAGTCTTTGTGTTCTTCATTCTTACTGTCCAGTCCTGATTCTTCCAACAGGGCAGTAACAATACTCGCCCTTTTATGTCTCGTCATGCACCACGTGTGGTATGCAGCAACATTTTGACTAAAACCAACAATGTCAACTTACATTTGGCTTGGCGGTTAATTGTTTGCTCAGTTGTGAAGTCCACAGCATCTTGCACCGGACACTCTTGACCTGTGCACACTGAATCCTTTGCATCGCAAAAGCTCTTCGGCACCAGGATGAGAACCTTTCAGGTTCAGCAGAGAAGGATGATGTATGCAGAGAGGTATCTAGCATATTTGGGGAGGTCCATGCTAATGAAAAGGGGAAACATCTGCTCAAGACAAGTTACGTGCAAGTCGCAGTCAATTCTCTTTGTTTGTTGCTGTAAGACAGTTGAGAACTTTCCACAGTGCATCCTTGTACATCATCAAAACTGAGCAGTCCTGCCGAGTTTCCCATAACGAACATCCAGTTGAACGGAAAAAAGCTCTCAACAAGTTCTTTCAATGAGCTCATATGCTCGTCATTTATGTCATTGTTGGAATAAGAAACATCTTTCAATTCCTCCTTTGCTTTTTCAAAGAACAAGTCAAATGCTGTCCATGTTGTTGAAAAGCATTTCTATGTAAATTTATTAAAGACGCATTGTTATAGCTTTGTGATCTTTCATCACCTTTTCAATAGACCCATCGGCACAGATTTTGGAATCTATAATCCACTTCTTCACATCACTTTGGCTGTTGCTTTTAGATATACACAAAGTACGTGAAACACATCGAGGTGAATGAAAGCATCTTTATATACTGTAGAGAACCTTGTTCTGCCACACAAGTGAATAATGCCATCTTTGCTACAGCCAGATGAAATGTGATAAAAGTATACTTTTGACCAACTGCTCTGATTGCCCCTTGTGAAATTTTCAGTACTTCTTGTTCAGTTGAATTTTCTGTAGTTGGTTGGCTCAGAGGTTCCATGTAATCTACAGTTGAGCAAAAGTACACGTGACGCCTACTTGCCCACGTTTTTAAAATGACGTGCGGCAGTTTTGCATTTTTTTTTTTTATCAATAAGCAATAGCAAGGGTTATAACTCCTTAACTCAAAGTTATTGAGCATAAAATCCTCATTTTGTGCCTCAAAGCGTGTGCCTATCAGAAAACTATTGTACCGGGTTATAGAAGATTTGAAGCAATAGAATTAACCACTTCTATAGATTTTGATAAATCAGCCTTTGAATTTCCTTTTTTCCTGCTTGCACCTTGTAATTAATTAACAAACAAATATTTTACAACACTTACATCATTTTATAATAGTGAGTTTTACATTATGAAAGAACACATTTGTGGCTTCACAGAGAACCCCAAAATAAAAATCAAGTATTTTCTTAATTTCTGTACAATCAAGGGCCGTAACCGTGTAGATTGCCAATATTTTGGAGCAAACTTTTTGGGGGGTGTGGGTCCCTAGGTCTTAAGTCCTTCCAGAAAATCATGGTGGCGAAAAATCCGGGGGGGGGGGTCACTCCCAGTAGCCCATAGCCTAATGCTACTGTGTTCATCAAACCAGCTAGAATTTCCCCAAGCGAATCAATATATGACAAATGACCAGTATTTTTTCAGTCTTGGATAATTTTTAATTTAAAAAGTGTGTTGAATTTTCTCAACTCGGGTAGGTCAATTTTTTCTTCTTCTATAGAATGCATAAATTCCACGAAAATAATGAATGCCACGGAAGTTTCACATTTCTTTAGTCGTAGTCGCACATAAACAATTGTTGGTGATGATTTAAATTTAAGAAATTTGCCAGAACTAAGACTAAGACCAAGTGCTTATGCACCTGTTCTTGGACTGTAGAATAACCCATGGGAACATACCACTAAAACAAGATAAAAGGAAATCGCTCTGTTTTAATCTTCTGAGATCTTTGCATACGGGTCTAAAAATTGGGATGACCAACAGAATAAGCCCAATCATAAAGGTCGCTGCAAACTAAGGTTCCGACAGGTTTTCTTCGATGAAAGCCTAAAGTAGGTAAAAAAAATAATAGGGGATCTACAGTATGTACCTTAAAGTTTTCAAAACATTTAAAAGTTGACATATTTTTCTCACTTTAACAATCAGTCAGAAACACGATTCAATGTACTGGGCAAGTAATTTTTAGACTCACGTGGAGCATGCGGAGACCCCTACGTCAAGACAGCCGGGGAATGAAATTTTCAAGCTTACACTACACTGAAATTAAATGGGGTTTTTTCGCCCCCTCCTGCCCACCCAGCAGTAATGGGTACCTGACTTCGAGTTGGGGAAGTAAAGGCAGCGTGGAAAGGAACTGGCCACCCTACCACAACAGGCCGACGGCCCAGAAAGTTGTCT